AAGTGTCGTAATCTTGTTTATAATCAAGTTTTAATTATTTTGTACATGAAAGAAGATATTCACTATAGTAATATAATATCTTGGATTAATCAGTGTTGTCTGTAAAGTATTCTTAAAAATCAAAATTATAATAACATTGATATCTTCTGTAAATGATTAGCTCAGTCAGGTTATAATTCAGCAATTTTAAGGCTTATATCAATTTATAGTAATGTGTTTGTTTTGTAAGTCAAAAAAACCCATTAAAAACAAAACATTTCAGCTTTTAAAAGTAACTAATTATTATTTATAATCACATATTAAGAACAAATTATAACACTGGGTAGCAGGATGTCTGTTTTAAATATTTTTTTTTTAAGTCATTACTTTTACAGTCGTACTGCTTACATTTTTACATATTTTAGACATCGACAATATGAAGGACATTTTTTCCATTAGAATTCTAACTTCTGAGCGATGAAAAATCGATTATGTAACAAGTCTTGTAAGAGCTGTAGATGTCCTAAGCAATATCAACTTTGATGAAAGCAACTCTCTTGAAGTATAAACACATTGTTCAAGTGTCTGAAAAATAACTGTATTTAAACATTCACTAAAGTTCTATAGTTGATTTAGCATCTTAAAAGATCATTTAAAAAGAGCTTAAGAAAGAACTTGTAAACACTTTTATTACCACATATAATAAAATAGGCACAAAACTTTTAATTGATGTTCATATTGCTTTGAAATTGTCAGTGATTGGATGAGGCATTAACTGTAGACTCCAGGGGTGTTGGTTTCAGAAAACCTCAGGAAAGTTTTCATGGTAATTAATAGCCCAATGAAATAAAAACTGACATTACTTTTTGACACTGTTTGGTGTAGGGGGCATTGTTTTGTTTTATTAGATTTTAATAAAATGGATAGGGTTTGGCCTTTTGGACATCTTTTCATATCTGTGCCTGCTTATAAAATATTAATTAAAATAGTTATTAATTCCTGTAAAAATGGAGGGAGCTTAAACCCCCTCTCACAGATCCATGCCTTCTTATACAACATTAAATAATTGTTATTAATTTCTAAAAAAAAGGGGAGCGAGGTGGCCCTCCTGAATCCTCTTCTCTAGATCCACTCATGTTTATACAGCATTAAAGAATACAGTTAGGCAGTTATAAATTATAAACATAACACAACTGAAAGAAAAAATAAGCAAATTTATATTTCATTTAACACATAAGTAGCTAGCTTGTTGACAGTAATTCCTGCCAGTCTGTTGTCTTCCCTCTACTCAGTTTTAGCTTTTCAATAAGAAAAACAGGGTGAACAAGTTTAGTGGCAATAGGAATCGAACCCAAGACCCTTCAATCGTGAGACACCCTCCCCTCCACATAGTGTAGCTTTGTGTTTAACAATAAAAAAACATAATGGAACTATTCTGATTACTTAGGATCATCAAAAACAGTAAATAATCAGAAACCCTTATTTCCATTAAATGATTATTTTTATGATAGTCAACTTAATCATAATTTTGATTAATCGGTTGTTGCAATAATTGGAAACACCAATAATATGAAAACTAATTTTGAATATTTTCTCTGACAGTTGATTTAATTGTAATTTTTTTATTAATCGTTGGAATAATCGAAAAGGGTAATTTTGATTAGTCATTTGTTTTGCTGACAATTAATTTAATTGTAATTTCAGTTAATCACTTAGTTTATGAGATGGTAATTGAAGTAATCGTTACTTATAGGTAACTGATTTTATTGATTAACCAATTAAATAGCACATCTCTATAACCAAGTAATCAACATTTCACATTGATATAGGATAAGTTTTCTGATTGAGGTGTAAGCTCTGCTATCTCATGTAGTAGATAAGGTATTAATTTATACTAAGGCATCGGTTTTCAAACTTTTCAGGCTTGTTTTCCACTTTTTGTTTAATTTTTTTTGAAGTACAAACCTAGACCTAATTAAAAACAAATAAACCAACATTGAAAAATATTATAAAAAAATTTATATTAACATTTACCCATTAATTGAAGGGTGTGATTATTTTTTCTAACACAAAGAGTATGTGGTGCAATTTTTGTCAATTTGAAGGTAATAAACGACAATTCTAGAAGTGAGGATAGTAGACAATTTAAAGAATAAATGGTACACGTCAAAATCAAAATGGTGTTTGATGAGTTCCGGAAGGCAATTTTCTACATCCCTGATATTAACATTTTTGTATTTGTGTAAAAATTGTAGCAGTAACACTTCTTTAAATCCTATCTAATAAGATCATAACCCTTATTACAATTGATTAAAGAGTAAAGAAATGAAAATACAATTAGAGATGCGTGCTTAGTGGAATTTCAACTTGAATAGTTGGATTAATTGAAAATGGTAATCAGAAACACTGATTCTGATAAGTTGATTTATTTCTATGAGTTGTGAAACTAATCTATTAAGATGAACAACATTGAATGAATCAATTATAATAATGAAAAATCTTAATGGCAATACTTTTATTACTGAATAGTTGATATAATCCAAAACAGTAATAATTGATTTTGATTATTTTTGTGACATTAATCGATTTGATCATAATTTTGATTAATCATTTATTTTACCTGACGTTTATTAATATAATCCATTGAGTTATTAATCATATAGCTGTAGATATGATTACATATTTATTTGTTACTTCTGATATTTACTGACAGTTTGGTACAACTTGTTACTAATTTCAATTTAGCTGTAGCGAAATATTTTTTTTCTCGCTAGCATTGAAAAAATCCACAAAGTAACCTCTCCGGTGCTGGTTATCCATGGAACAGAGGATGAGGTGATTGAATTTTCTCATGGTCTTGCAATCTATGAACGATGTCCAAGACCAGTGGAGCCCTTGTGGGTAGAAGGAGCAGGTCACAATGATGTGGAATTGTACGGACAGTACCTAGAACGTCTGAAACACTTGATCTCTGTGGAGTTGGTTAATTGACATCAGCTTTAAAATAAGTTACGGAAATCTAACCTGGTCATCTTATCTATTTCTATCATTGCTACACAAAGAAGTTTGAATTTCTAGGAAAAAAAACTGTGACTTTACCTCGTACAAAGCTGAGTTATAAACAATATGTCTGGTGATATTCTTTTATCACAGTGACATGATGAATCACTGGTAGTCTTCTTAGCCTTAAGATAAATCAATTTATTGAAATTACAAAAAAAGGTGCCATTTCATGAAGATACAATTATATATATATACACACACATACAAGTACGTACTTCTGCAGGTTGCATCATCAGATTGAGAATATGGAGAAAAGAACATATTCTATAAGAGTTGATTTTGACTTTCGTTATTAAGATTGTTTTATTTTACCGAACAAAAATTTTTCTTGAGTCTTTAATAATTAGATTTTACCTGTTTGTATTGGAAGTGTTGGGTATACGAGTTCCTTTGTCCACCTGTGTTAATGTGAAGGTAATTGGTGTGCTCAAAATGTACAGACATAACAAAGATTGGCACACTATAACTTGCATAGACATTGTTCATTAATTGCGAGTCGACACCGAGAAAGTTTTAGTTTTAAAATGGCCTTGTTCCTGTTTAGGTTTTGCATAACAGCTTCAAAGGCATCTAAACTAAAAGGTCTAAGTACTTTGTATCGATTTATCCTGTCCACTTCATTTCAACCTTAGAAAATTTCAAATATAAGTATATTTTCTATTTCGAAATTTGTTCATATTTTACTTGAAAGTTAGTCGACAATTTTTGGAGGTTGTATGGGGGTAAGGAAATCCAATAAAATACTTTTTAGGTGACTTTCCAAAAAGGAAAGAACATAAAATATTGTAATAAATGATAAAGGAATTTATGCAGTATGAGAAAGACTGATAAGTCTGGTGGAATTTATTTGGCATATCTAAATTCCATATATAAATATAACATACTTCTTGATTTGAAGAGTAGAATTTTGAGTCGAGTATATTTCTGACATATGTTTCAAGTGGCAACCTTAATGTATATTTATTTTTCTATACTTAAATCTAGACATATCATTAGCATAACTATTTTCAGTTGCAGTGTAGGAAGAATTTGCCTTTACGGAAAGAATAAATTCGGAAGCAAGTTAGTGAATGTACACGCTTAAGTTGATGTTAATCATCGACACGTGTATTTTACTGGTTTAGTTGTGTGTATAGATGTTTGAAGGTTTAGCAGGTTCGTCTGTATTTTTGAAAGTGTCTTAACATACTTATCTGTAAGATTAGCGAATTTTCAATGTTGATTTCACTTTACTCTTGATAATATAGTAGGTTTTTTGTACCTACTTGTATGTTGTGCGTATTAATTTAATATCGTAGATTTACACGTGTACGTGACTTTTGTGCACATGTCATGCAGTTTTTTTTATTATGAGTTGTTCTTTAATTCTACTTTAAAATTAGATTATTCAAGGAACAAATAAATATAAATGATGATGCTTTTAACCTAAAAAAGTACAACTACACTTCTTCTGCTTTGTGATAACGAGAGCTTTGAATGTTACATGAAGAACAAACAGGGTAACTTTTATCCTCATTCTTACTAAAGGTGGAACTTAATAGTGTTAACAGATCAAAATATGGCGTATTGTTTACAAATTAGTGAGCAATGTAAAAAGTTTCCCTTGCCGTGTACAAGACCTTATGTTGCTAAAAGTGAGTAGGGCCTAAATTTACTAGTTGATATGAAACTAACCAGCTGACTTCTTTATCATTTACTTTTAATGGTGAGTGTACATTATTAGTATTAGCTGGATAAATATTTAAATGATAAGGGCTGGATTTGAGGATGTTTTTATGATAGTTTTTTAATTTGGAATTTAGTGGGTGGGACAGTCTTGATGGACAACTAGGCCCCATGTTGTTCTTACTTATTATGTCATTGTCTCCAGAATATAGAACAAAGAAAACAGAGACCTTTATCCTATCAAGCCCCTGAATAACCTTGTAAACTTCAATAAGATCATATCTAAATGTGTTAAAGCACCAACCTTGAGCCAATTTAATCATGGCAGATTCACCATTAAAAGTAAACAATACACTACTCATAAGCACGTGACTTTTTTACAGTCATTAAACTGTACAGCTCTTTGGCTTGATGATCAGGGAAAGTGTGTATTTCTGAAACACAGATGCACAATCTAGAATATCACTTTAGTTCTTAATGATTTCATTTTGATTATAATAGTTTTATTTGACTAATTAGTTAGCTTATTTAGACAAATAAAATATCTCGGGCTTACTATTCATTAGTACTGTTCTTATGAATTTACTAAAGCTAGTTGTGAACAGTATCCCATAATAATTTATAAACTTGTTGTATTTTTTTGGTGTACATATAGTAAAATAACATTTACTCATACTGCCTTCATTTCACAATAAGCTATTAGCCTATGTGGTGGACTCATAAAAGAAATATTTTTTGAAATAATGTTTTCAAGAAAATATCTAATAATCAATTGATTAGCTTCATCTATAAGAACACCGTTAACATGAGTGTACACAGTTTTAAAGAACACTTTCAAACGGTTATATTCTTATTGCTGCACCAAAGGAAAAAATGTTACTTCCAGTACAGTAGTGTGATATTTAAAACAATTTTTTACATATTTCTTGTATATTGTAATTTGGCAAGTCATTTATAATTACTAATTTCTAAAATTCAATAATGATCTAATACAAACATTCCCATCTTTCATAATCTTTTACAATTCTCATTTAACTTTGTGAAATAACATTTCTTTTAGCAGAGTTGGTGGTTTAAAGTTTGTTAAAACTAGGTCTCACTGAGTATCAATTAGCACAAGAAATGAACATTTGGAAGAATAACATTTTTCAACTACAAACATTACTGAACTGTTACTCCTTTATAAGACCAGTTTTTTTCTTCTTTCTTTATTTGTTAAGTTCTGATTACCATATCCAAGATTTTCTTAATATTTTAAATGGATTTGGAGTAGATTTGAGAATTTAGCGTAATGCCTGAAAATTTATACTGATATATAGAGGGTGTGTTCATTATGATGCTGCTGTGTATGTACATGTTTTCTACATTATAGTTTCAAATCTACATAATTCACACTACATCTGAATTGTACATTATTGTTTCAAGTCTACATGATTCACACTATATCTGTTCTCTACATTAGTGTTTCAAGTTTACATGATTCACACTACATCTGAATTGTACATTATTGTTTCAAGTCTACATAATTCACACTACATCTGAATTGTACATTATAGTTTCAAATCTACATGATTCACACTATATCTGCTCTCTACATTATTGTTTCAAGTCTACATGATTCACACTATATCTGCTCTCTACATTATTGTTTCAAGTCTACATGATTCACACTATTTCTGTTCTCTACATTATTGTTTCAAGTCTACATAATTCACACTACATCTGAATTGTACATTATTGTTTCAAGTCTACATGATTCACACTATTTCTGTTCTCTGCATTATTGTTTCAAGTCTACATGATTCACACTATATCTGTTCTCTACGTTATTGTTTCAAGTCTACATGATTCACACTATATCTGTTCTCTACGTTATTGTTTCAAGTCTACATGATTCACACTATTTCTGTTCTCTACATTATTGTTTCAAGTCTACATGATTCACACTATATCTGTTCTCTACAAAATTGTGCAATTTGTTTTTATTCCTTTAAAATACAGCATCTTACTGAAATCTATCAAGTAATAAAAGTTAATATTATTATGTTGAACACTAAATAAAATATTTTTTTTTGGAATGTAAGTTTGGTATAATCAGAGGCCAGCCCACAAGAAAGTGAAAATTGTGTTTGTAAGAATCAAACTTTTCTGTTTGTTTTTCACATATAAGGTATTTAGATTAATTTTTAAAATACATATGTCATGTGGATGAAGTTCAGGAAAATATATGTGTATTATTTTTTGGAAGTAACATTTGTGTATGACTATATGTACGCTATAAAGGATAAAAGGATTATTGTTAGTTTTTGGTTTTAACAAACCTGTACATAAAGACTGTATATCTATACAAGTCAAGAATGTTAAGTCTCATTTGTCGTGTTTATGAACAGGTTTTACCATGTGATCATGTTTCCACTAGTTAACTCTAGGTATTTATCAAGACCTTTTTCATAAATTTATATTGTGCGTCTATATATATATATATAATATATGATTTTTGAAATTTGTTGTTTAGCGTTCTTAGTTTTAAATGTGAATAAATAAACTTTAGTTTCTAAAGTTTGTTTAATTTATATATGAATGATTTTAAACTGAATTTTGTGAAATTTATGTGGTTGTATACCAATTGAGTCATAGGTGATGAAAGCTCAAATGTTGAGGGGGAGGGTAAAGAATTGTAAGCAGTTATTTCACCAGTATACGTTATATCGTTTCTTCTGTACATACATATATACTTTATACATGTTATTGTACATGTGTATTGTTTAGTTATGAAAAAGTGATTAAATTTTCATTTTGAAACAAATTTACTTCGCGTGTATAAAATGTATTGAACAAAACCTTTCCTCGGTCTCAAAAGAACTGAACTTGTCCAATCGTAATGTGTACCTTGTGCATGCAAAAGGTAAGGGCGTGGTTTGTTCTTTTCTGTCCTACTGGTCCTAAAGACCCTCCCCTCGAGGCCCTATGGCTCTTCTTCGTACGAAGTAGGTTTTACGTTGAATAAACTTCCTGTAGTGAGAATCCTACATTTGTGTGAAAATAAATGGATTGATTTATGTATTTATCAATTATATGTAAAAATACCGTCTCCTCGTGTTGAGCGATTCAAGTGAGTTTGGCCAGGTGGTTAGGGCGCTCGACTCGCAATCTGAGGGTCGTGCTCGCTCTTTCAGCTGTGGGGACGTTATAATGTGACGGTCAATCCCACTATTCGTTGGTAAAAGAGTTGGCGGTGGGTGGCGATGACTAGCTGCCTTCCATCTAATCTTACACTGCTAAATTAGGGACGGTTAGCACAGGTAGCCCTCGTGTAAATTTGCACGAAATCTATATCAAACCAAACAAAAAAAACCAGATGAGTTTATATTTTGCTTATCTTTTTTTTATTTTATTTTTTTTTTAGTTTGAAACTGAAATTAATTAGTGTACATTCAG